TTTTTTGTAAATAATAAATCAAAATTTTAGCAAAAAAATGTTCAAGTACCCGCCACTGATCTGAATATTTTATTTTTTGTTACCATAGTTACATCCATAGTTTAGTGCATTTCTATGGCAATGAAGCGAGTCTACTCGTATTTTCTTCTCAGTCGACTCGTCGAGAAGAGAAAAGGGGATTAAAAAAAAACATTTTGAGTTTTTCTAGCTGAATTAATTTACAATTTTACTGCATTTCCGAAAAAATTCTATTCTTACTTCTCAGTGTGTGTAGTAAAATGCAAACTCAACTTTTAACTCTTTTATAATATATTTTTTGAAATTAATAATTTATACAGTAGGTATCTTTGAGAAACAGTAAGTCAGGACTTAAAAATTAAAAATATTTTTAAATAAAAAAATGGTCCAAAATTGGTTGTTGTTACTATGACAATTTTTATTTTGTACTTTTTGTTGCGATAGTTTTTTAGTAACCTTCACATGTGCGACTCGTTAGGGGTAAAAAATGGGTTTTTTAATGAAATTTCAATTTGATAAAATAAAATAAAACCCAGACGAATTCTTGAGATAAAATCACCGCAGACGTGATAATTGATAACACTTTATTAGACACTCATTCACATTAAAAGAAATAATCTGATAAACGTCTCCTTTGTGGTAACATTTTATTATCACAAATCCGCGGCTTATCACCCCTAATCTTGCTACAAACAACAGCTGCAAAGTCCACAAGCGACATTTCTTGCAAATTATCATCAAACTTATCATCATAAACCACAGTTGGAACAAAGGAAATGTTCGGTTCTAAATCATAAGTTTTAACCCCATGTTTTGCGAGCAAATCATCCCCTTGACTCGTCGTCGCACAATTCGAGATTTTCCCCCAATCAATCCCAACCCTTTGTGCACACTAAAAAAAATATTTTTTTGGTTTTTTTCAAAAAAAAATTATACTTTTTTCATTCTTGTGACGTCAGCTGGGTTTCGGTCACGCATCACACAATCCACAAATGCCAAATTTTTATCTTGTCCATTGTTTTGTGCCAAAGCACACGCCTGGTATTTATTACCTTGGCACTCATTAACCCCATGTTGACAGTCGAAAATCCATCGATTTTTGACGTAATTGTGCTAAAAAGTCGCTAAAAAAACCAATGGGTGAATTTAACCCCACTTACTGTAGCCTTCCCATAAGGGATGAATTCGAGTTGGATGTGATTTTTCAATTGGGAGTAGTTAGGGGTGAGTTGGAGGGTGATAAATCTTGAACTGTCGTAACACAAAGACTCGTAATAAAGGGAGACTTTTAATGAGTGCTGTAATGACTGTTTTACCGACCTGGAAATTGATTATTCGACTTACCGAAATTTTGATAAGTGTGATAAGAAAAAAATTAAGTTTCATTTTTGGGATGAGACCACCGATGGGGTCGCCTGTCACTAAACTACGCATATCTCAGCAGGCCACGAGTCCTCATTAGGAATATGTCAATTTGAATCAGGGCCGGATTGACCAAAATACGAGCCCATTATTGTATCTTTATATAATTCTTTTATTTTTAAAACTACGAAGCTTTAATATATTTAAAACAAAAATATTTTATAATACAGGGTGTTAAAAAATGATTGTAAAATATTTAAGGAGGTAATACTATAGCCCAAAATAAACAAAAGCTTAACTGTTTTGTTTGAACAGATTGCAAAAAATGTTTCAAAAAAACTATTTTGTTTGTTTTGGTCAATACTATTACCTCTTGGAATATTTTACAATCTTTTTTTGACACCCTGTATAATACAACAAAAAATACAGGGTGTCTCGGCTAAACCCCACATAGTTCTGGCAATTTTATGTAGGTGCTGATCAATAATAAAAAATATTTTCAAGATGGTGGCCCTTCCGGTTATACCGGAAATGGGTATCAACTTCGTTATTTTAAGTGTTTTAATTGCATTTTTGGGTTATTTAAGTGATTTTGAGAGTGTTTTCATCAGCCTTCCCTATACCTAAGTTTAACCGTTTTCGAAATATTTCGACTTTTTTAAAATTTTTTGTATTTGCACCTTCCTCTTCAAAAATCGCTAACTCTGACATTTTTAATTATTTTGAAATCGTATTTGGGGACATGAAAGGGAAAGGTTAGATCTTTCCTTTGGTGTATTCATAATCGAAATAAAAAGAAAACTTGAAGGGTTTTCTTTAAAAAAAAATTACGGGTTTTTTAATTTCCCCAAAATGAAACGTTAAATTTTGGAGATTTATTAACAGTTTCTTCAATTATAAATACACTAAAATAAGAATCGAACTTTTCTCTTTTAAATGCCCAAATACGATTTCATAGTAATTAAAAATGGCAAAGTTATCGATTTTGGAAAAGGAAGCTTCAAATCCAAAAATTAAAAAAAAAAATCGAAAAATCTCAAAAACGGCTCAATTTAGGGTCAGCTCGATAAAAACTCTGTTAAAAGAAGATTGTAAAACATTTAAGGAGGTAATACTCGGACTAAAATAAACAAAAGCTTATCTTTTTTGTTTGAACAGATTGCAAAAAATGTTTCAAAAAACTTTTTTGTTTGTTTTGGTACATACTATTATCTCCTGAAATATTTCACAATCTTTTTTGAACACCTTGTATAAGGTGATGCGAATTTTTTTAATATTTTTTTATACAGGGTGTTAAAAAAGATTGTAAAATATTTAAGGAGGTAATATTATGGACTAAAACAACAAAAAAACTTTTTTTGACACTCTGTATAATACAATAAAAAATACATAGTTCTGGCAATAATTTTTAAATAAATTTTTTTATATAGATGCTGCTCAATAAAAATATTTTCAAGATGGTGACACTTCCGGTTATACCGGAAATGGGTATCAAATTCGTTATTTTAAGTAGAAAGGTATATTTTTATTGCATTTTTGGGTTACTCAAGTGATTTTGAGAAAATTTTTATAAGCCTTCCCTACACCTAAGTTTAACCGTTTTCGAAATATTTCGACTTTTTTGAAATTTTTTGGATTTGCACCTTCCTCTTCAAAAATGGATAACTCTGGGAAAGATTAGATCTTTCCACTGGTGTATTCATAATTGAAAAAATAGTTAAAAACTCCCACAATTTAGATTTTGGAAGTTTCAAATACCCATAACTCAATTTTTTCAAATAAAAGACCCCAGTTTTTTTTACTAAACAAAGGTGAATTTTATTCTGAATCGATCTGTATCAACAGTCCTTATACCTATGTTTAATGGTTTTCAAGTTATTTTGACTTTTTTAAATTTCAATTTTTTAAATTATTTGGTCACCTATAGCCAACACCCTGTATATGACAACGACACAAAAATCATATCAATGGATCGAACAAAGTCTTGTTTATCAACGTGCCAAGTTCTACTTTTCTATTAGTGATAGTAAAGATTCTAGACGAATTTAATTGAAAGCAAGTTTTTTTTTTAATTTTGCAAAAAAATTTTTGAAAAAAAAAAATTCGCGTCCGGTCCTGTTTGAAACAATCCGGTTGTTACTGTACCAGGAAACTACTCATTCAATGATAAAATTTTATTTATACTTGTCACTAGATTACAAACAATTCGGTTCTTGACCCAACAAAACACAAACTGTTTTTTTTAAATCCTTCTCTCCCAAATCCTGCAAAGTGTCGTAAAAATAATCGTCGGAACGTAATTTATATTAAACGTTCAAAGAATCGGCCTAGAAGCCATTACGATTCAAATAAAAAAAAAATTATTAAAAAAAATACGAATTACCTTATACAGGGTGATCAAAAAAGATTGTAAAATATGTCGGGCGGTAATAGTATGGACCAAAACAAACAAAATGGTCATTTTTTAACACCCTGTATATCGCAAAACTCACCTCAACCGAAAAACCAAACACAACAATCAAAGTCAGTAATTGCATTTTTATTACCCGGGAAATAATCGATTAGAATTTACGAGGCGACTATTATATTCACATTTTATCAGATAAGAGATTTTTATTTTTGATCATAGTCTAGTATCTGTTCCAAATTGCTAGTTACATAATAATGTTGTACAAAGTGGTGAGTTTTTTGCAAATGGCGGGTCTGTTCTTCAACAAAAAACAAACGCATTTTGCGAAATTATTTTCGGCGAAATCCTGCATGGCCTTGTCGTAAATCCCGTCAAAAATGATGGTGGGGACGTACGAAATGGGCGGAGTCACCGCATCGGTTTTGGCGCCATTTTCGGCCAATAGCTCGTCGGCTTGGTGTTCCAGGCAATCAGCGATTGCGTTCCACGATATGCCCGTCTCGCTCGCACACTGAAACCGACCAATGGCGGTTAGGGGTGGGCGTGGTTTGATAAGTACCGTTTGTGGGGAGTTTGGTGGTGTCATGGCACAGTTGATGAAATCAAGGGCGGGTTCTTGGGGGTAGAGGGCGACCACACACGAGTGGATTTTGTTGTAGTGACATTCACGGGGGCCATGTTGGCACTGGAAGTGCCAATGACCCGAGGAATTGGAAGCCTGGAATTTAACCTGAATTTGGGGTTTTTTACCCGATTTTTTTACCCTAGCTTTGCCAAATGGTACCAAATCTAGGGTTAAATATTTTTCAAAGTTTTGGTACGAAGGGTGGAGTTGAGTGGTGATAAATCGCATGCTATCAGGGCACAATGTCTCGTAATAAAGCGAAACTTGTAATTTGGCCTAAAAATTTGACAAAATTTTGGGAAAATTTCATTTTGTACTCACTTGGGTTAAAGTTAACCACAAAAAAATGGTATAGAACCGTGCACTTGTATGCATTTTTCTCGATTAAAGTACCAATGGTAGTGATGTAGGCGGAAAGTACTAAATTACTCATAATCTCGACCGATAAAAATTTATTTTCTATTAATTACAAGCATCTGGTTTTGTGTTAAATAAACCACAGACTGTTTTAAAAAAATTATCACGAGCTAAATCCTCCAAAGTTGCGTTAAAAATTCCATTGAAGAGAATATGAGGTACGTAAGTCAGTTTCGGGTCCAAATCATTAGTGACGTCACCATAATGGGCTAAAAAATCATCTCCTTGGGTTCCTTGCACACAATCGACGATATCACGCCATAAAATCCCATTATTAGACGCACACTACCAAAAATTCAAATTTACCGCCTCGACGTGGCGCCATCTATCGCACACTTACCGATTCAGCGATAGAAATCTTCCCTGGATCGCTGGAATTCATCATACAATAAACAAAACCGATTTTGGAATCTTTCTGAAACGATTTTGTCAAAACACAAGCTTGGATTTTGTTACCCAGACATTCTTTCGGGCCGTGTTGACACTTAAATTCCCAATTTCCGTCAATTTTAGTGACATTAGCTTTACCAAAAGGAACTAAATCGATGAGCAAAAAATCTTTGATTTTTTTATAACCAGGATAGAGTTCTTGTGTTACAAATTGGCGACAAAAAGGACACAATGACTCGTAATAAAGCGACACTTTTACCAAATCCTGAAAATTTTGATTAGTTTTGCAAAAATTAAGACAGTTTTGCACCTGTTTGCACAACACCGGGGATAATTCACACACAAATAAAACAGAGAGAAAGCAAAATGACTTAAGATGCATTTTTGGAGCAATGTGGTTGATAAATGTTAATTGATTGATTGTTTTAAGTGAGTCCTTGACCTTTGTTCAAGTTTGGCGCCGGTTTCTGCCAACATTGCAACGACAAAAAAAACATCACTTTACGCAATGTTAGATATAAATATTTATAAAAAATAAATAAAATTGCGACGAATGGCTTGGGAAGGCACAATTGTGTGTTTTATTAGTGTTTCAAGTTAATTAACACGAACTTTGTTTAAATTTTGAGCCCACTGTCGCCAACATTGTAACGAACAAGAAACTATCAAAATGGCTCAAAAATAACGCACTGTTGCTTTAAAAAATTCAAATTCGAAAAAATGTCTTGTGGGAACGCATTTTTGGTCCAATTGCGTGTTTTATTGTTATTTAACACGACTTTTGTTCAAGTTTGGCGCTTGTTTTGCCAACCTTGCACCGACAAAGTAACCATAAAATGCCCCCTAACCTCACATTGCCAAAATGTCGGCTTTGAGACTCAATAAAAGCGTTTTAAAACGTTGCAAGAAGTTTAAGTGCTTTTCCACGGCCGTGCAACACGACGATGAGTACACGGCGACGCCCCAATACCCCCCGATCCTGGACATGAGCCCCGACAAAATCCAAGAACGGAAGAAAGAAGCCCTATATGAAGAAATCAAAGCTGTGAAGACAGTCGAGGAAAAACAGATTAAATTAAACATGCCTAAATATTACGGTTTTAAAAGCTACATGTTATATGAGGATTATATCCCTTATAATAGCCTGTCTTTAATCCAACACGTTACAAGAACACATTTGATAAAAAACGACAATTTGCCCCCTTTTTACAACGATTTGGATGTCTCAACGGTGGCAAATGACGTAAAAACCGACATTGAGGAGGTTATTTTAGTCGAAACGGCGAGAAAAAGGTCAGTTTTAATTTTTTTAACCAAAAAATTGATTTTTTTTTCTAGAGAAGGGGACAAAGTGGCGGTGGAAAACTCCCTCAGTTTTGATTTATCCAAACAAATTAATCGGATTATAATGAGTCGGATGTGTAGGGCTTTGCCCCATTTAATGGAGGCTCATGTCGATCTAAACCCCCGGGTTGAGTCCTTCTGGTTCGCCGGCGGTATGAACCCCCCTGAGAACATCAAACGGTACCGGAGGGGCACCGAGTGGCAAAAAATCAAAGAAAACGAGCCAACGAACCGAGGCATGAACTATATCGGTTCATCAAACCTGTCTCTGAGGTCTGATTTACCCTTGAGACAGTTAATTTCCCCCAGTGATGCGGAAAACCCCGATTTGGGGGTCCCCCATTTTGAGTTTGACCCCCGAACTGTGGGTACAGTGGCCAACGAGCACCGACATATAGCCAATATTCCAGGTTTGCCACCTTAATAGTGTTTGACTCCTAGTGATTTTATTTTGTTAGGTTTCTGGCCTGGGGATTCTAGGGAATTTGGTTTTTTGTCGTACCACAAGCGCGGGCATTTAATCACACGTCACTATAACGATGTTGAGGATCATAAAGAAGCCATTGACCGACAGGGGATTTTAGCGTCGTTTGGTTGGCTAAACGCCCAAGCCAACTATCAGGGTTTTACCACTTTTAATGACATCACGTATCCATTTGTGACTCAAACTGTGGTCACTAATGGACAAATCTGGTCGTTTTATGTCTACCAACTTAACACAATTGTGAATCACTCTAAGTTTTTCACTGAAAACCCCAAACGGAATGTTTGTTGGGGAACCCCCGAAGTGAAGTTGTTTGAAGGGGTGGAAAATGATAAATTGATCGGATTCAATGATGATGTTTTGAAAATGTTGTTGAAGTTTTATGCGAATGCTCCAGAGGAGAAATTGGGGGTTAATATGAAGCCGTTTTTGGGTAAAGAAGAGAAATTTATTGCTGATTATGAGGATGCTGATAAGAGGGAGTGGCTTGAGAGGGAATATAAATTTTTAGTGTCAAATAGGCCGAGGGATCAACTCGGTTATGAAATTTATGCCTGGGAGAAAATTTATAAAATTGATCACCAGACTAGGTTTATGGACAAGAAAAGGAGACCGTTTGAGTTTAAAATGAAACCATCGAATAGGAGGCTGGATGAGCGGTTACCGAGGTATATCCCGAGGGCTTTGAGGCCCCATTTGCCCCGACATAAGGGACGATACGCCAAGGAATATTTCCCTTAAACATTGTAACATAGTTTGTTAATAAATCAATTTAAAAAATGTGTTTTTTTTATTTTTGCGCGACAACTATTAGTCGTACTTGGATGATTTTTTCTTTAAAAAGAGGCAAATTTAAAGAGCTTTCAAACGGTGTCACGCACGAGACGCTACTACTAGTAGTTTCGGAGTTATTGACCGATAACCGTTTCGGTTATAACCCAATTAAAATTTCAAAATTATCTTTTTCACGTAAAATCGTCCGGGGAATTTACCGGTTGAGATAAAAGTGGTAGTTTCTAAAATAAATCAACTTAAAAAATGTGTTTTTAAATTTTTGCGTGACAACTGCTAGTCGTAGATTGGTGTTTTTTTTTTTAAAGTGGGAAATTCAAAGAGCTTTTAAATGGTGTCAAGCACAAAGCGCCACTACTAGTGGTTTTGGAGTTATTGAGCGATAACCGTTTCGGTTATAACCCAATGAAAATTTCTAGATTAATTTTTTCATGTCAAATCTCAGGGAAATTTACCGGTTGAGATAGAAATGATAGTTTTTACAATAGTTTATAAAAAAAACAACTAAAAAGTGTGTTTTTTAATTTTTGCGCGATAACTGTTAGTCAATGTTCGATGTTTTTTTTCTTTAGCAAGTAATAAATTAAAAGAGTTATCACACGGCGTTACGCACAACACGCTACCACTAGTAGTTTCGGAGTTATTGACCGATAACCGTTTCGGTTATAACCCAATTAAAATTTCAAAATTGATTTTTTCAAGTAAAATCGTTCGGGGACTTTAATGATTGAAATAGAAATGATAGTTTTTGAGATATTTTGTAAACAAATCAACAAAAAAATTAATTTTTGTATTTTTACACGATAACTATTAGTCGTAGTGTCATGTTTTTTTCTTTAAAAAGTGGGAAATTCAAAGAGCTTTTAAATGGTGTCAAGCACAAAGCGCTACCACTTTTTGTTTCGTAGTTATTGACCGATAACCGTTTCGGTTATAACCCAATTAAAATTTTAAAATTAATTTTTTCATGTAAAATCGTTCGAGCAATTTACCGGATGAGATAGAAATGATAGTACTTCGCGGAAATTTGTAAAAAAAGAAATCAACCAAAAAATGAGTTTTTTAATTTTTGCGCAAAAACTACTAGTCGTAGTTTGATGTTTTTTTCTTTGAAAAGTGAGAAATTTAAAGAGCTTTTAAACGGTGTCAAGCACCAAGCACTACCACTAGTGGTTTTGGAGTTATTGACCGATAACCGTTTCGGTTATAACTCAATTAAAATTTCAAAAATTTAAAATCGTCCGGAAAATTTACCGGTTAAGATTGAAATAATAGTTTGTAAAAAATCAACTAAAAAATGTATTTTTTAATTTTTGCGCAACTACTAGTCGAAGTTTGATGCTTTTTTCTTTAAAAAGTAGCAAATTTAAAGAGCTTTTACACGGTGTCACGCACAAGGTGCTACCACTAGTAGTTTCGGAGTTATTGACCAATAACCGTTTCGGTTATAACCCAATAAAAATTACAAAATTAATTTTCTCATGTTTTTTTCTTTAAAAAATGGGAAATTCAAAGAGCTTTTAAACGGCGTCAAACACAAAGGGTTACCACTAGTGGTTTCGGAGTTATTGACAGATAACCGTTTCGGTTGTAACCGAATTGAAGTTTCAAAGTTTATGAATTTTCCCCAATGATACGCCACTGACTATACGTCTTCAGCTGTGCCCAAATAATTAAAATAATTAACCAATTAATCACTCATTGACATACCAAGAAATATTCCCTTTAAATATTGTAAAATAAAATATTTAATTCTTGTACGTCAACTATTAGTCACATTTTGGTGATTTTTTCTTTAAAAAGTAAGAAACTTAAAGAGCTTTCAAACGATAACTGGTAGTTTTGCAGTTATTGACGGATAACCGTCTCGGTTATAACCGAAAAAAAAAAATTACATGTAAACTCGTGCGAGGAATTCACCAGTGCAAACCGTTTCAAGATAAGAAATAAAAATAATAATTTTCGCGTTTTGTATTTTTCCCCACATGCTACGCCACTGTCTACTTCTTCAGCTGCGCATCTAGTAATTAACTCAAAGTGTGCGCATCCGTCCGCCATTTCCTTATCATCAGGTGATAAAAACCGGAAATTAGTATAAAAACGGTGCCATTTTGTCCCATTTCCAGTTCAAAATGGCGTCTCCTCCGACCCTCTACGAGTACTACACCTCCAACGGCATTTCTGGGGGCCTCTCGACCCAACAACCCAATTTCACGCTCAATAACAAACCCATCACGATTTTCAGTGGGGCTTTGCACTATTTCCGGGTACCCCCCCAGTACTGGAGGGACCGTTTGCGCAAAATTCGAGCCGCTGGTTTGAACACTGTCGAAACTTACATCCCTTGGAACTTACACGAACCTCAAGTTGGTACTTACGACTTTGGGGAGGGTGGTACCGACTTTAGTGACTTTCTCCAAGTTGAAAAGTTCCTAAAATTGGCACAGGAGGAGGATTTGTTGGCAATCGTGCGTCCAGGGCCGTACATTTGCGCCGAATGGGATTTCGGGGGTTTACCGAGTTGGCTTCTCCGCGAAAATGTCAAAGTTAGGACTTCTGACCCGAAATTTCTCACTCATGTTCGTCGATTCTTCAAAACTCTTTTGGCAATTCTATCGACTTTGCAATTCACACAAGGGGGCCCAATCATAGCGTTCCAAATCGAAAACGAGTATGGCAATACGAAAATGGGGGATTCACAGTATCTCGAAAGCTTGAAACAAATTTTCGAGGAGAACGGAATTCGGGAATTGTTGTTTACATCAGACACACCATCGAATGGTTTTTCCGGGACACTACCTGGGGTTTTCGCTACTGCCAACTTTCAAGATAACCCCAAAACTGAATTGGGGTTATTGCAGAAGTACCAACCCAACAAACCGTTAATGGTAATGGAATATTGGACCGGGTGGTTTGACCATTGGGCTGAAAAACACCATCAAAGATCTAGTGACGCTTTTGGTTCAGTTTTGGAAGAAATTTTGAGGTTAAATTCCTCGGTTAACATGTATATGTTTCACGGGGGGACAAACTGGGGGTTTCTCAATGGTGCCAACATTAAAGACCAAACTAGTGATAACAGTGCCTACCAACCTGACACTACCAGTTACGACTACGACGCCCCCTTATCAGAAACAGGGGACTACACAGACAAGTACCACAAAGTCAAACAACTTGTCGAGAAATACAACACAGTGGTGACAAAAATCCCCCAAATGCCCGAATTAACCAAACGAAGTGTTTTTCCCCCAGTCCAAATGACAGAAATGTTGACACTTGACGACTTGATCCAACAATCGCCTCAAAAAATACCCTCACAAGACCTCAAAGCGATGGAATTGTTGGGTCAAAGTTACGGTTATGTGAATTACCGGGTGAAAAACCTCAATATCGCCTCAAACTCGACCTTGAAAATCGAAGGTCATGTCTGTGACACGATCCTTGTCCTCATCAACGGACAATTAAAATCAAAAATCCCCAAAAACCAATCAGATTTGGACAAGTTTGGGTTTTGGAGGCTCAAAGACTCGACTCTCGATTTGGGCCCCTTGGAATACCACAACGCCACTCTTGACCTTTTGGTTGAGAATTGGGGGCGCAGTAATTACGGAAAACTCAACCAATTTAACCAGTTTAAAGGTCTTTGGCAAGGGAATGTTTTAATAAACGATGTGGTTTTGCACAATTGGGAAATAATCCCGCTTGAATTTCAATCAAAATGGACGAATTCGTTACAATGGAGGAAGTTTGAGGGGGATTTGGGGGGGCCAAGGCTACTTAAGGGGGTTTTGCAAGTCGAGGAGGTGTTTGACACGTTTTTGGATATGAGGGAGTGGAAGAAAGGGTTTGTGATTGTCAATGGGTTTGTTTTGGGGAGGTTTTTCAGGCTAGGCCCCCAACAAAGTCTATATTTGCCGGGGCCGTTTTTGAGGAAGGGGGCTAATAGTGTGGTGGTGTTTGAGCATTTTGAGGGTCATCCTCAAGTCAAGTTTGTCAAAGACCACATTTTTGAAACTTTGTCATAATTTAATCGAAATAAAATGATACGTAAATGGTATTTGTTTTTATTTGTTAGGAAAATAACATTAAAGAAACATTTTTTTTGACACTTTTACTGTGAAGCAGGCTTTAACGTCAAATTTGACATTTTAAAACGTCAAAGTGACAACTACCAAGTCACTGTAAAAAATCTATTGGCTACACTGACTTATTGGTAATTGGCAATCCTTCTAATCTGATTTTGGATTGTTTCACAAATTAATGACAATTGACTATAAAATTGTGACATTTAAATTTGATTGTCAAGGTGGCCAAATTAGGATTTCAAATTTGTTGCCAACGTGACAACAAAAATCACATTTATCTAAGGGCCATTTCACAAACCTTGTCAAAGAACCCATTTTTGAAACTTTGTCATAATTTAATAGAAATAAAATGATATATAAATGCTATTTGTTTTTATTTATTAGGAAAATAACATTAAAGAAACATTTTTTTTGACACTTTTACTGTGAAGCAGGCTTTAACGTCAAATTTGACATTTTAAAACGTCAAAGTGACAACTACCAAGTCACTGTAAAAAATCTATTGGCTACACTGACTTATTGGTAATTGGCAATCCTTCTAATCTGATTTTGGATTGTTTCACAAATTAATGACAATTGACTATAAAATTGTGACATTTAAATTTGATTGTCAAGGTGGCCAAATTAGGATTTCAAATTTGTTGCCAACGTGGCAACAAAAATCACATTTATCTAAGGGCCATTTCATAAACCTTGTCAAAGAACCAATTTTTGAAACTTTGTCATAATTTAATAGAAATAAAATGATATATAAATGCTATTTGTTTTTATTTATTAGGAAAATTAAATAAAAAATCCAAAAAAAACATATTTTTGACACTTTTACTGTGAAGCAGGCTTTAACGTCAAATTTGACATTTCAAAACGTCAAAGTGACAACTATCAAGTCACTGTAAAAAATCTATTGGCTACACTGACTTATTGGTAATTGGCAATCCTTCTAATCTGATTTTGGATTGTTTCACAAATTAATGACAATTGACTATAAAATTGTGACATTTAAATTTGATTGTCAAGGTGGCCAAATTAGGATTTCAAATTTGTTGCCAACGTGGCAACAAAAATCACATTTATCTAAGGGCCATTTCATAAACCTTGTCAAAGAACCAATTTTTGAAACTTTGTCATAATTTAATAGAAATAAAATGATATATAAATTCTATTTGTTTTTATTTATTAGGAAAATTAAATAAAAAATCCAAAAAAAATCATATTTTTGACACTTTTACTGTGAAGCAGACTTTAACGTCAAATTTGACATTTGAAAACATCCAATATTTGATATTTTTCACTCAGTTTTAGCAGTTTAGGCCTAATTTGATAAATTTTTGGTTTGTTTTTAACGAGCTTTTGCAAAATAGTTCTATTTTTGGCTAAAAACATACTAAAACTCTCAGAAATGGACAAAATAATGTACTTTTTGACCCATTTTAGCGATTTTTTTACCTTGTTGAGTAAAAAAAAACTATAAAAAAATCAGTGTCATTATTTTTGACTAAATTTACTATAGTAATAATTAAAAATTAAAACAAATTTTCACCAAATCACTAAACTAGTATAAAAATCACCAGATCTGGTAAAATTTAACCAGACCTGGCAACACTGACGAGTAATACACATTCCGCGGTGTCACTTCCGGTCTTTTGAGAAAATAAAATAAAAATTACAAAAAAAACATATTTTGACACTTTTACTGTGAAGCAGGCTTTAACGTCAAATTTGACATTTCAAAACGTCAAAGTGACAACTACCAAGTCACTGTAAAAAATCTATTGGCTATAAATATGATTTTAGATTGTTTCACTTGATTGTCAATTAAATTAAAATTTCAAATTGTTGCCAACGTGACGACAAAAATCACCAACACAGAAACATTGTAACTTATGTATTTCAAACCACAGTTTTAAGCCTTATAGAAATGATTATGTATGTGAACCGTGTTTGCTGTAATTTTAATATACTTGGCGTTTTTCCACCCCTCATCATCTTGTCCTTCTTCACTTTTCCCTTCTTCATGAATTTCTTCATTCCTCGCCGATATTACAGTCGTAATCCCTTCAAACTCCAATCTGACATTTCTCGGTTCTTCCCCCAAACACTCATCATTGACTTGTGTGAAATTCTCCCGTGTTGAAACGCGACTTCCTGAATCAAGGGAGAAATCTGGTGGGGGAGTCCCAGCACTGTCTTGTTCCACAATAGTTGTCAAACTTCGATTACCTAAAGCAATTGGTACTTCCAAATCGTTTAACCTCTCTAGTACTCTCTTCTTGTAGCATAAAGGTCCCGGTTTGATGAATTTCCTCTTGTTTTCGAGTAATAAAAGTGTCGAATTTGCGTCTTCGTTGTTTGTTATTGGGTTGACGAAAACGGTGTAACTGCCAGGAGCTTCGTTGATTTTTGAGGAGTTTTTCTCAATTTGGAGTTTTTCTAAAACAACGTTGGGTTGGAGGCGATTCAAGAGAGTGACTTCGGTTTGGGTTGTTGCTTCTTTTAACTCAATTTTTGAGTTTCTTCCATGACATTTGCGACGCAATGACGGCGCCATTTTCACACTCAAATGTCGGAAAGAAACGCTTGGAAACGGGAAGGTACCACCTACTAGGGGATTTTTTTTAGTTTTGTACTAATGGAGAAATTGGTACTATTGTTTTCATTCTACTTAGCTTCTTACTACAACTAGTACCATGTAGCTCAAAAAATCGGAAATTTCATAATCGAACCAAATTTCAGTACTCTAAAATCATTTGGTACGTTTTTTACTTCTAAGGAAACTCCACAAAAAAATTGTTTTGGTACCACCCAATAAAACGCTTAAATTACTTATTTATTTATTTAGAAGGTACCACCTATTAGGGGATTTTTTTTAGTTTTGTACTATTGGAGAGAATTTCTATTGGTACTATTTTTTTTCATTCATAAAGACATTTGTAAATATGTTAATTACTTAGTACCACAAGTACCATATAGCTAAAAAAATTGGTAATTTCGTAATCGAACCAAATTTCAATACACTATATTCATTTGGTACCTTTCGTACTTCAAAGAAAACCCCCCATAAAAATTGTTTTGGTACCACTATAATGGTAATGCGTTTTAGAAATTTGTCAAAACTTTTTAATGTGGTACCATCCAATAAAACACTTAAGGTTATTTATGTATTATAATTACCAGATGGTAAATTTAGCCAGAGAAGGTACCACCTACTAGGGGATTTTTTTTAGTTTTGTACTAATGGAGAGAATTTCTATTGGTACTGTATTTTTTTATTCATATAAAAACAAATTATCAAATAAATATGTTAATTACTTGGTACCACTAGTACCATGTACCTCGAAAAATTGGTAATTTCATAATCGAATCAAATTTCAGTACTCTATAATCATTTGGTACATTTTTTCTTCTAAGGAAACCCCTCATAAAATTGTTTTGGTACCACCATGCCTTTTAGTATTTTTTCAAAACTTTTTAATGTGGTACCACTCAATAAAACGCTTAAATTACTTATTTATTTGATACCACTATAATGGTAATGCCTTTTAGAACTTTGTCAAAACTTTTTAATGTGGTACCACCCAATAAAACACAGGTTACTTATTTATTTATAGTATAGTTACTAGATGGTAAATTTAGTCAGAGAAGGTACCACCTACTAGGGGATTTTTTTTTAGTTTTGTACTAATGGAGAGAATTTCTATTGGTACTATTTTTTTCATTCATAGACATTTATAAATATGTTAATTACTTAGTACCACTAGTACCATGTCTCTCAAAAAATTGGTAATTTTATAATGGAACCAAATTTTAGTACTCTATAATCATTTGGTACGTTTCGTACTTCTAAGGAAACTCCACATAAAAATTGTTTTGGTACCACCATAAATAGTACTTTGTCAAAGCTTTTTGATATGGTACCACCCAATAAAATACTTATTTTACTTATTTATTTATTTATTACAGTTACCAGATGGTAAATTTAGCTAGAGAAGGTACCATCTACTAGGGATTTTTTTTAGTTTTGTACAAATGGAGAGAAATTGTATTGGTACTATTTTTTTCGTTCAAAAAGACATTTATAAATACGTTAATAGCTTAGTACCACTAGTACCATGTAGCTCAAAAAATTGGTAATTTTAAAATCGAACCAAATTTCAGTACTCTATAATCATTTGGTACGTTTTTTACTTCTAAGCAAACCCCACATAAAAAGTGTTTTGGTACCACCTTGCCTTTTAGTACTTTGTCAAAACTTTTTAATGTGGTACCACCCAATAAAACACTTAGTTTACTTATTTATTTATTTATTATAGTTACCAGATGGTAAATTTAGCCAGAGAAGGTACCATCTACTAGGAATTTTTTTTTTAGTTTTGTACAAATAGAGAGAAATTGTATTGGTACTATTTTTTTTTCGTTCAAAAAGACATTTATAAATATGTTAATTGATTAGTACCACTAGTACCATGTGGTTCAAAAAATTGGTAATTTCATAATCGAACCAAATTTTAGTACTCGATAATCATTTGGTACGTTTTTTAGTTCAAAGGAAACCCCACATAAAAACTGTTTTGGTACCACCATAAATGTAACTGCCTTTTAGTACTTTGTCAAAACTTTTTAATGTGGTACCACCCAATAAAACACTTAAGGTTATTTATGTATTATAATTACCAGATGGTAAATTTAGCCAGAGAAGGTACCACCTACTAGGGATTTTTTTTGTACTAATGGAGAGAATTTCTATTGGTACTATTTTTTTCATTCTTAAGACATTTATAAATTTGTTAAGTACTTAGTACCACTAGTACCATGTAGCTCAAAAAATTGGTAATTTCATAATGGAACCAAATTTCAGTACTCTAAAATCATTTGGTACGTTTTTTACTTCTAAGGAAACCCCACATAAAAATTGTTTTGGTACCACCATAAAGGTAACTTTGTCTTTTAGTACTTTGGTACCACCCAATAAAACACTTAGGTTACTTATTTATTTGTTTATTAGTTACCAAGTGGTAAATTTAGCCCTTGTTTTGTACTTGGCCCTTTCGGAAAAACTCACTTCGTGCCCTCTAGCAAAATGGTCAAAAACCAAAATCGTGTTGTTCCCTTTTTTCAAAAAGGGCCCCGGGAGATAAAGCGTTTGTTGTGGCCCAATCCTTGCAAAACGCCCTAAAACAAACCCATTGACTATAACAATGCCCTTGACCCATTTTTCCATATCAATAAAGGTGTCTTCTGGTACTTCAATGGGTAAAATGGCACGATAAAGGGCCGGTCCAGGTGCCCATCCCTTGTATGGTCTATGCCACCCAACCAAATCCTTTGACCATTTCTTCCTAAACTCGAGTGGTACTATATCCCAATTTAGGAGTTCCTCACCCTCCAAAAACACCCCTTGCCATAAACCCTTAAATTGGTTGAACTGTTCCAAATGCCCGAAATTGTTTCGACCCCAATTCTCCACCATCAGAGTTAAAGTGGCACCGGTTAGGTTCTGGGTACTCAACGTAATAGTCGAGTCTTTAACCCGCCAATAACCAAAATGGTTCAAATCACGTGATTTTTTCAACGGTTTGTTGAGAAGGAACCCATCAACTAGGACTGTGACCGTGTCGTGGACATGTCCCGAGATTAATAACGTGCCATTTGCCGGTATTGTCACATTCACTTTACGGTAAATAATATAACCGTAGCTTTGACCCGATGGGAGTAGTTCCATGGGGAGTGGTACCCGACTTTGGTACCTCACTGGTACCATTTCAATAATCTCATCGAGGAGTAATTGACCCGTGATTGGTACCGGTGGGTACCTCCGACTTGGTTTGGTTCTAGGTACTGGTGGTACCCGTGTCTTGACTTGGTTGTACTCCTCCAGTAGTTGTTTCACAATATGGTACTTAGTCGTATAGTCGCCATTTTCGGACAAGGGGGCGTCATAGTCGTAACTAGTGGTATCCGGTTGGTACCCCGAATTGTCCACAGCGTCGTTATTTAAATTGGCACCGTTCAAGAACCCCCAATTGGTACCACCATGAAACATATACATATTAACCGACGCTGGATATTTCAAAATTCGGTTTAAAATGTCATAAAAGTCGTTGTTGTCTCTAGTATGGTGGTTCTCGGACCAATGGTCGAACCACCCAGTCCAGAATTCCATCGCCATGGTCGGTTTACCCATTTGGAGTTGTTTGAGTTTGTCAAATTCGGATTCAGGATCAGTGGCGAAGTTTGCAGTTTGGAGGAAGTACTCCGGGATGGTACCAGCGGTACCATGAAGGGTGGGGCTATCTGACGTCACTAACAACTCCACAATTCCGTTGTTTAACATAATTTGGCGGAGTTGTTTGAGGTAGAGTTTGTCGGGGGTGAATTTACCAGGTTGTTCGGTACTACCATACTCATTTTCGACTTGGAAGGCAATAATGGGGCCCCCATGTGTGAATTGGAAGATGGTAAGTAACGATAAGAGTATATTGAAGTACCTCGTGACAAATTTCATATAAGTTGGGTCTGAAGTACGAAGTTTGATGTCTTTTTGACGTAATAACCAACTTGGGAACCCCCCAAATTCCCACTCGGAGCAAATATAAGGCCCTGGACGAATAATAGCGAACAAATCCTCTTCTTGTGCTATTGTGAGGAATTGACGGACATTGAGGAACTCCTCCATGTCGGTACCACCGGTACCAAAATCGTAGAAATTGTCATTTGGTTCGTGTAAATTCCACGGAATGTATGTCTCGACTGTGTTTAAACCTGCAGCTCGCATTTTACGCAAACGGTCTCTCCAGTACTGCCGTGGTACCCGGAAATAGTGCATGGCACCACTGTAAAGTGTCACATTTCGGTTATTTAACGTAAAATACGATTGGTTCGCTGAAAGACCGGTTTTAATACCACCACTAGTGTAATATTCGTAGAGAGAAGGCAACGTCACGTTAGACACAGCCATTATTCAATTAAACTGGAACAAATTTAATTTGTTTCATGTTTACTTGGCTTATCTTGAGCTTGATGGAGGGAGGGTCAAGGTCGCACGACTGTGTAATAACAACAAAATTTTGGTTTCATTGGAATAAAATTAAAAAATTGAAAAATCATGTTTTTGACAGTGTGAAGCAGGCTTTAACGTCAAATTTGACAAATGACTAGTATCAAGTCACTGTTAATTACAAAACTGTAAAGGGTATCTTCTTGTAGGTTTGTAAATTGTGTTGTATTTTCATTGTATATTTAAAGTTTTCAAAAATAAAGTGTCATTGGCTGGAACTTATATGATTTTGACGCCCGGTTGTTTGTTACGCCACTGGACTTAACAAACTGACAGTTGACACGACAAATAAGCTACGAATTGTTATCACATCTAAATAAATCAATTAATAAAGACTAAACACGCATCTTTAATGTTTTATTTCATTGAAAATCATGATTTTCGCCTTGTTACGCCACTGGACTTATGTGTCAAAACTGACAGATGACACAACAAATGGGTTAGGATTTGTTATCATATATAAATAAATTAATTAATAAAGATTAAACACGCATCCTAGGCGTTTTATTTCATGGAGAATCATTGTTTTCGTTTGTTGTTACACCAAAAACGCTCTTTTTGTAAGTATTTCGCAAAAACACAAATCACAAAAAAGCGACTTTATCACCAATTCCTTATCAAAGATGGAGTTTAACAAATCGTGAGTGTCTCAATTGTGCTAAAATGACTCCAAATTGGTTTTCAGGCGTGACGAGGATGTTTTCAGTGTCGTTGACATAACCAATTTTGAGTCAAATGACGAAGAAATAGATATTTTCAGTATGGCSTCATTGGGTAATTACATTTTGTTGGGGCACCAGAGCGAAAATTCGGACAAAAACGACGAAAAACTGCACCGATTATCACTAGCCTATGAAAAACTCCACTCAATTCCCAAAATTCTCCTACAAGAACTCGCCCCAAGAGTCCAAATCCTAGATTTGAGCCACAATGAGTTCGAGTAAGCCCCCACAAGAGTAATCAAAATAATTCAAGTGAAATTTCCAGTAATTTAGACTTTTTAWTCGAATTTAAATCACTAACCACGTTTATCTGTGATCACAATAATGTTAATTCAAACACAAACTTGCCGTTTTTACCCCAATTGGAACTACTTTGGCTCAATCATTGCAAAGTAAGTCCAATTAATCATTGCGTTTTGGTAATTATCGTTTCAGGTGACTTCGTTGTACCCGTGGGCGAAAAAATTGCAATCCTCGTGTCCAAATTTGAAGTATTTGTCACTAATGGGCAACCCTGGAGCCCCCTCGTACCTCAACGGGGGTAATTTCTACGAATATTTGCAATACAGGTGGGGTTTGCGAKYTGACTAAAGTTGGCGGAAATAAAAATCCCTGGTTTCAGACTATTRGTCATTTCGCTTTTCCCGAAATTAGTTTATTTGGACGATAGACCGGTGACTACCGATCAGAAAACTGAAGCTGAAAGATTGTATCGCAAACCGTTAGTTGAACGTCTAGTCATGAAAAGCCACGGCGTGATTCCTGAATATTTACGTCAAATTTCCGATATTCTCACACCAGCGCCATCTTTCGTAACACAAGAAAAAAACGTCATAGTTTAGGAATTTTTTWATTTTTTACAAAATAAATCGGGTTTTGTGTGAATGCYACATGAGTGGATGCAATAAAGTGTTCAAAAATGACAATTTCGTTGTTTCCTTTACGCAGTAAGGGGGCRGGGAGGTAGAGACTTTGTTGGGGGCCTAAGTGCATATAACGCCCCAAAACGAAGCCGTTTATTATCACAATTCCGGTGTTCCAATCGGACATGTCGATGAAGGTGTCCACAGGGTCAATGACGGGGAAAATGGCCTTGTTTAAGGTTAGGTTAAAGCGGCCATGTTGGCCCCAAACTGTCAAAGAATTCGTCCATTTTGTTTTGAATTCAAGTGGGATTATACTCCAATTTTTCAATTCCAAACCATTCAAAAAAACACTCTGGTTGAGACCTTTGAATTGTCGAAATTGGTGCAATTTTCCGAAATTGTTTCGGCCCCAATTTTCCACAATTAGGTCCAATGTTGCGTTTTTTGTCCCCGGTAGTTTGATAGTACCGTCTTTCAAACACCAATAACCGAATTTCTCAAGGTCAGATTTGTTGATAAGCGGTGGTGAAATTAATTCATTATCAACCAGAACCAAAACAGAGTCATGAACATAACCTTCAATTTTCAGGGTACTATTTGGAGGGATATTTGTTGTGGTTCTATAAATTGTGTAGCCGTAACTTTGACCCGAATTGTTATTAATTGGGAGAAGTTCCATTGGTACCACTTTCTCACTCACTAGCTCAATTTCCAGACTTTTGACTATATCGTGGTACCGTAATTGGTACCCAATTTTCAATTTTGGGTACCACTATCTTGGTGTTGGTTCCGGAAGTGGTGGAAGCTTCGTCTTGACGCCATTTTGGTTCCCGATCAAGTTTCGAACATTTTGTTTTGAATTCAAGTGGGATTATACTCCAATTTTTCAATTCCAAATCATTCAAAAAAACATTTCAAAACGTAATAAACACAAAATTTTGTTTTCATTTGGGAAAATAAAATAATACAAAAAAATCTTGTTTTGACACTTTTAGTGTGAAGCAGGCTTTAACGTCAAATTTGACATTTCAAAACGTCAAATCATTTTGACAAGTACCAAGTCAATTGGCAATACGATTGAATTGTTTTATTAAAACTAATGACAATTGACTGAATTTGGTTGTCAAGGTGGCCAACATGACCACAAAAATTCCACTAATCTAAGGGCCCTTTCACACTGGAGAGAGGGTCAAGGTCGGCCAACTGAATAAAAACAAAATTCTGGTACCATTTAACCTGTTTGTTGTGTGCAATGGCAGTGTCACTTTACGAGTACTACACATCCGGTGGTGTCACTTCCGGTCTTTCCATCGAGCAGTCGTACTTCACCCTCAATTCGCGAAATATCACCCTGTATAGTGGTGCCATGCACTATTTCCGGGTACCACGGCGGTACTGGAGGGACCGTTTGCGTAAAATGCGAGCCGCTGGTTTGAACGCTGTTGAAACTTACATCCCGTGGAACTTACACGAACCTCAAATTGGTACTTACGACTTTGGGGAGGGTGGTACCGACTTTAGTGATTTTCTCCACGTTGAAAAGTTCCTAAAATTGGCACAGGAGGAGGATTTGTTGGCAATCGTGCGTCCAGGGCCGTACATTTGCGCCGAATGGGATTTCGGGGGTTTACCGAGTTGGCTCCTCCGCGAGAATATGACAGTACGTACTTCCGGTACCACTTTTATGTCACACGTGACGAGGTACTTTGCACGTCTATTGCCAATTTTAGCCGCGCTTCAATTTACTAAAGGGGGCCCCATTGTGGGGTTCCAAGTCGAGAATGAGTATGGTAGTACCAAATCCAATGACAAACTTTACATCAAACAATTGAAAAACTTAATGATCCAATTTGGGTTGGTAGAACTGCTTTTTACGTCGGATTCACCGAGTCAACATGGCGACCTTGGTACTTTACCCGAGTTGTTTCAAACGGCGAATTTTGCGCGAAACCCAGTCAAGGAATTCAAAGCTTTGGAGAAGTACCAAAAAGGGAGGCCTACCATGGCGATGGAGTTTTGGACGGGGTGGTTCGACCATTGGGCCCAGGGACACACTAAACGTAATAACACCGAATTTGGGTTGGTACTTGAGGAAATTCTCAAGTATCCAGCTTCGGTTAATATGTACATGTTCCACGGTGGTACCAATTTTGGGTTCTTGAATGGTGCCAATCTAGATAGGAGGTACCAACCCGACACTACAAGTTATGATTATGACGCACCATTGACCGAAAATGGCGACTACAGTGAGAAGTACCACATTGTTCGAAACTTGATCGGGAACCAAAATGGTGTCAAGACGAAGCTTCCACCACTTCCGGAACCAACACCAAGACAATGGTACCCAAAATTGAAAATTGGGTACCAATTACGGTACCATGATATAGTCAAAAGTCTGGAAATTGCGCTAGTGAGTGAGAAAGTGGTACCAATGGAACTTCTCCCAATTAATAACAATTCGGGTCAAAGTTACGGCTACACAATTTATAGAACCACAACAAATATCCCTCCAAATAGTACCCTGAAAATTGAAGGTTATGTTCATGACTCTGTTTTGGTTCTGGTTGATAATGAATTAATTTCACCACCGCTTATCAACAAATCTGACCTTGAGAAATTCGGTTATTGGTGTTTGAAGGACGGTACTATCAAACTACCGGGGACAAAAAACGCAACATTGGACCTAATTGTGGAAAATTGGGGCCGAAACAATTTCGGAAAATTGCACCAATTTCGACAATTCAAAGGTCTCAACCAGAGTGTTTTTTTGAATGGTTTGGAATTGAAAAATTGGAGTATAATCCCACTTGAATTCAAAACAAAATGGACGAATTCTTTGACAGTTTGGGGCCAACATGGCCGCTTTAACCTAACCTTAAACAAGGCCATTTTCCCCGTCATTGACCCTGTGGACACCTTCATCGACATGTCCGATTGGAACACCGGAATTGTGATAATAAACGGCTTCGTTTTGGGGCGTTATATGCACTTAGGCCCCCAACAAAGTCTCTACCTCCCYGCCCCCTTACTGCGTAAAGGAAACAACGAAATTGTCATTTTTGAACACTTTATTGCATCCACTCATGTRGCATTCACACAAAACCCGATTTATTTTGTAAAAAATWAAAAAATTCCTAAACTATGACGTTTTTTTCTTGTGTTACGAAAGATGGCGCTGGTGTGAGAATATCGGAAATTTGACGTAAATATTCAGGAATCACGCCGTGGCTTTTCATGACTAGACGTTCAACTAACGGTTTGCGATACAATCTTTCAGCTTCAGTTTTCTGATCGGTAGTCACCGGTCTATCGTCTAAATGAACTAATTTCGGGAAAAGCGAAATGACYAATAGTCTGAAACCAGGGATTTTTATTTCCGCCAACTTTAGTCARMTCGCAAACCCCACCTGTATTGCAAATATTCGTAGAAATTACCCCCGTTGAGGTACGAGGGGGCTCCAGGGTTGCCCATTAGTGACAAATACTTCAAATTTGGACACGAGGATTGCAATTTTTTCGCCCACGGGTACAACGAAGTCACCTGAAACGATAATTACCAAAACGCAATGATTAATTGGACTTACTTTGCAATGATTGAGCCAAAGTAGTTCCAATTGGGGTAAAAACGGCAAGTTTGTGTTTGAATTAACATTATTGTGATCACAGATAAACGTGGTTAGTGATTTAAATTCGAWTAAAAAGTCTAAATTACTGGAAATTTCACTTGAATTATTTTGATTACTCTTGTGGGGGCTTACTCGAACTCATTGTGGCTCAAATCTAGGATTTGGACTCTTGGGGCGAGTTCTTGTAGGAGAATTTTGGGAATTGAGTGGAGTTTTTCATAGGCTAGTGATAATCGGTGCAGTTTTTCGTCGTTTTTGTCCGAATTTTCGCTCTGGTGCCCCAACAAAATGTAATTACCCAATGASGCCATACTGAAAATATCTATTTCTTCGTCATTTGACTCAAAATTGGTTATGTCAACGACACTGAAAACATCCTCGTCACGCCTGAAAACCAATTTGGAGTCATTTTAGCACAATTGAGACACTCACGATTTGTTAAACTCCATCTTTGATAAGGAATTGGTGATAAAGTCGCTTTTTTGTGATTTGTGTTTTTGCGAAATACTTACAAAAAGAGCGTTTTTGGTGTAACAACAAACGAAAACAATGATTCTCCATGAAATAAAACGCCTAGGATGCGTGTTTAATCTTTATTAATTAATTTATTTAGATATGATAACGATCCTAACCTATTTGTTGTGTCATCTGTCAGTTTTGACACATAAGTTCAGTGGCGTAACAAGGCGAAAATCATGATTTTCAATGAAATAAAACATCAAATATGCGTGTTTAGTCTTTATTAATTTATTTATTTAGATGTGATAACAATTCGTAGCTTATTTGTCGTGTCAACTGTCAGTTTGTTAAGTCCAGTGGCGTAACAAACAACCGGGCGTCAAAATCATAAAGTTCCAGCCAATGACACTTTATTTTTGAAAACTTTAAATATACAATGAAAATACAACACAATTTACAAACCTACAAGAAGATAGCCTTTACAGTTTTGTAAACATTGACTTAGGAGACGACAAAAACTCAGTTCTGATTGATTTAAATATTATCGGGGCGCATTTCCTGAGCTCTCCTGTAGGACTGGATCTGGAAATGGGGTTAAATGAGAGTGGGGAGTACCAAATGGGGTATTTACCCATTGCCTGATGACTCGTGATATGTTATCATATTGCTCTGGAGTTAGTTTCGGGGGTCGTTCCGGTCGGTACTCACTTCTGGGTCCGGTGAAGACAAAAGCTGGATTTTCTTCACTTTGCACATCTTGAAGAATTTCTTCATTGTTTTCCGGGGCTTCGCGACTGCGTTTCCCTGTGCCCCCGTAGCAGGAATGGCCGAAAGCGGCACAACCACCTGTTTTAAGTTGAAGATAATAAATGGGATTTAACTCAATCTAGTTTTAATTGCTTGCGATTATTAATTAAAATCTGATAACGATCGTGATAAAACAGTGGAGTCCTAGTTGATGAACCCTCTAATTGGGGTCGTTCGCTCTAGATACCATTCATTTAAATTTCTCGATTGAATAAGCACATTTGAGACGAAAAAATTATTTCCGTTTCGGGGTTTTTTGCACATTTTATTTTCTACTAATTGTCTTGTAACTAATTTATGGTTTTCCACCGCATTTGTTTTACATAAATCACTCTAAATCACGATATTTGCATAGTATTGCGGCTACTAGGCTAATCATTGATTTTAAAACGAGCTTTTTTGCTATCCAAATATTAACATAATTCACTGAATAATTCACTCTTTTAAACTGTAAAATATATACAGGTGTGAAACGATAATTATTACGATTTGAAAGGCAAATACATTTTAAAAATCGGCAAAGCCAACATTTTTTAAGAGCTATGCAACCACTTAAACTTATAAAATAATTGAGAAAAATATTTTATTTGAAACCCCTTTTCTCCCCCCTAAACGAGTCCGTTACCATAGAAATGCACTAAAGTATGTATGTTACTATGGTAACGATCAATTACAGAAGTAAAAGTTACCATGGCAACGAAAAAAACAGCACAGGGCAGTGGCGGGTAATAATTTTTTTTGTAAAATTATTTTTTCTATGGTGTATAAATGATTGCGTTTGTTTTAAACAAAAATAAAACTGACAATGTGTTATTTTTGCCTGTTTTTTACCAAGAAAATAACTGAAATCTAAGTTAAATTGAAGAAACTCATAAAATTTCGAAATTTTTTTCAAAACGAGGCAAAAACATCGCAAAATTAGCTATTTTTTCCTCATTTCGTGGATTTAGCGTTTTTTATTGAGAAACTTGTAAAACTTGAAACTTGAATATTTAAAGCGTTTTTTACCGAGAAAATAACTAAAATTGAAGTGAAATTGAAGAAAGCTACAAATACAATACAATAGCTCTGAAATGCTGTTTTTGTCTTACCTCTTTTGTGAATTTAGCATTTTTTAGCAAGAAATTCTTAATAAATGCAAAAAAATCTTAAAGAAGCTAGAAAATTGCAATTTTCGATAAATTTGACAGCGTGTTTTTTACAAAAAACTCACAAAATTTCTAAATTTTGTCAAAACAAAGCAGGAAATTGCAAAATTAGCTTTGAAATGTCATTATTAATAAATATAATTTAGATAAATTTAGTGCATTTTTCGCCAAGGAACAAAATAAATGCAAAAAAATTGCCAAAATAAGATCAAAATGTGTTTATTTTTTACAAATTCATAGAAGTTTTTACCGAAAAAATCATAATTCACAAAATCTTACAATAACAAAGAGAAAATTATGAAATTTTGGTTTATTTTTCGAATTTAGAGCATTTTATATCAAAAAAATTAACTAAATTTGCTAGTTTTTAAAATTGCAAAATTAAGTCAAAAATGCGTTATTTTCTGCAAATGTCGAAGTGTTTTCAACAATAAATTCAAACAATTTTGGCCAAATAAATGAAAAGATTTCAAAATTAGATTTACAAATATGTCATTTTTCTTGTTTTAGTCATTTTAGAGCGTTTTTTTTGCCAAAATAAACTAACAAAGTGCAAAATTTAATATGGAAATGCATTATTTTTGCCAGTTTTTATAAATTTACACTGTTTTTCACCGAAAAAAATAATTGAAATTAAAGAAAACGACAAAATTAAAAAAAATGTAATCAAAACAAGGCAAAAAATTGTACTAAAATGCTTATTTCGATGAATTTTGCGAATTTTTCTCTGAGAAATTAAATAATTGCAAAAAAAAATGCCAAAATAAAATAGGAAATTGCAAAATTAGATCACGATTTCATTCTCCAAATTAGATTTGGAAATGCAATATTTTTGTCCGTTTTTACAAACTTAGGCTGTTTTTCACCGAAAAAAAAAACTGATATCGAAGAAAACTAAAAAAAATTTAAAATTTTATCAAAACGAGGCAAAAAATTGCTATTATTTTTGCTTATTTCGATGAATTTTGCGGATTTTTTGCAGAGATATTAAATAATTACAAAAAAATTCCCAAAATAAAGTAGAAAATTGCAAAATCAGACCTAGTAAAATTCATCTGCCACCATTTCAAAGTTATTTTTCTATTGTTTTGAAACACACTGTATAAATGATTGTGTTTATTGTAAACAATATCAAACAAAAAGCAATTAGAAAATGCAATTTCAAAAAACCTAAGAAAATCCTGAATTAATTTAGGTCAGAAATATTGAAAAAAATTGTGAACCCCTTTTCCATCCTAGACGAGTCGGCTGAGACGCAATTGCGACTAGTTTAATATCGTTACTACAGTAACAACAACTAAAAAAAATCGTAGTCATAGTAACAATAAAAAATTCCAGTGGCGGGTAATTTTTTTTATTCAATTTTTTTATTACTTTCTCCGAAGACGAAAAATCAAATCAAATCAATTTTCATTTGTCGAATAAAATTTTATTGTATTTGTTGTATAAAAAAAAAGTCAAGAAAGTTTTATGTAGCAGTGTCTCATCTCTGGATTTTTGTATCAATCCAAAGATCACTTTAGCTCGAGACTGGATGCATATCTGACTTTATATTATTTCCATATAAAATCCATTACGTCTCTGGTCTGGCTTCTAAATTTAACAAAGAAAATATAAGTTAGTTTCAAGTGCAATTTCGAAATAAAATAAAATTCTTCCGATACCTTATTTCAAGTCATTACGAATTAAAATAGTGAGTTTCGTGCTGTTTGGTTGTAAAAATGGGTCTTAAATCAGATTCTCGAGCTTTCTGTTAAGATAAGTGAATTATTTTGATCCTATTTCATTGAAATGCAAATGGCTTTGTTGTGGATATTAATAAAGTTACAAGTCTTTAAAGGATCAACACGTTTTAATTAATTTTTATTTAGCGAAATTTTTCGAGAGGTCTTTGAAATTTCATTAAGTCTTTTTTGTCGAAAGTTGAAAAACTTTTCACATGATTAAATCTCCCCAACTTGACTAAATTATAACGTTACACATTAAGCAAAAACAAATTAAGAGCTATGCAACCTCTTAAACTTATAAAATAATTGAAAAAAAAAATTATTTGAAACCTCTTTTCTCCCCCCTAAACGAGTCGGCTGATACTAGTAGTTTAGTGTCGTTACCATGGAAATGCACTAAAGTATGTATGTTACTATGGTCACGATCAATTACAAAAGTAAAAGTTGTCATGGCAACGAAAAAAAGAGCACAGGGCAGTGGCGGGTAATAATTATTTTGTTTGTAAAATTATTTTTTCTTTGGTTTTTAATTATTTTTTCTATTTTGTGCATTTAACACTTTTTTAAGAGAACCTCATAATAAATGCAAAAAAATTCTAAAATAAAGTAGGAAATTGCAAAATTAGATAATTTTTTATCGAAAACTCACAAAATTTCTCAAATTTTGTTAAAATAAGTCAGGAAATTGTAAAATTAGCTTTGAAATGTCATTATTATTAAATATTATTTAGATAAATTTAGTGTATTTTTCGCCGAGGAACAAACTGCAAAAAAAATGCCAAAATAAGTTAAAATATCTTAAAATTAGATCAAAATGTGTCTATTTTTTATAAATTTATAAAAGTTTTTACCGAAAAAATCATAATTCAAAAAATCTTATCAAACAATAAGAGAATTACAAAATTAGAGTAATTTTGGTTTATTTTTTGAATTCAAATCATTTTATACCAAAAAAAAAACAAACAAAATTCGCAAGTTTTTAAAATTGCAAAATTAAGTCAAAAATGCGTTATTTTCTGTAAATTTAGGACTGTTTTCAACAATAAATTCAAAAAATTTTGCCCAAACAAATAATAAAATTTTAAAATTAGATTTAGAAATGTGTCATTTTTCTTGTTTTAATCATTTAGAGCGATTTTTGCCAAAAAAAAAACAAAAAATTGGGAGATTTTTGCCCCAGCAGAGTAGAAAATTACAAAATTAGATTTGAAAAAGCATTATTTATGCCCGTTTTTATAAATTTATGCCGTTTTTTAGCGAAAAAAAAAAAATAACTGAAAACTGAAATTGAAGAAAACTACGAAATTTGAAAATTGTTTTTAAAACAAGGATAAAATTGTACTAAAATGCTTATTTCGATTAATTTTGCGGATTTTTTGCTGGGAAATTAAATAATTACAAAAAAATAATTCCCAAGATAAGTGAATTATTTTGATACTATTTCATTGAAATGCAAATGGCTTTGTTGTGGATATTAATAAAGTTACAAGTCTTGAAAGGATCAACACGTTTTAATTAATTTTTATTTAGCGAAATTTTTCGAGAGGTCTTTGAAATTTCATTAAGTCTTGTCGAAAGTTGGCCGAAATATAATTATCCCATGTTGAAAAACTTTTCACATGATTAAATCTCCCAACTTGAGTAAATTATAACGTTAGACATTAAGCAAAAACAAATTAATAACATATACACATCGTAAAGGGGGTGCTCTCCAACAGCGCCAGCTCTGATTGAAACGGGGGTAAAGTTAATCAGTTGGACCGCAGGGGGCGTGCAATACGCTTCTTGCACAAAGGACGATATTCCGACCACATGCATAATCTACCAATTTAAATATCTATGAAACTCCACAACATTATCGTTACGCATCCTGAATATCATCGCCACCTAGGTGATGTTTACCACAGAATTACTAATTGAAGAGAGAAATGGCGGAGGCGACGGTTTAGTGAATTTGGTTTTCCAAGGTTGGCAACGATTTTTTCCATTTTTATGATCAAAATACTTGGTGTCGTATAGTCGCCATTATTGTGTGATAAATTATATTTTAT